TTTAAACTTGAAAAAAAGCATTTGGAATCAAAAGATCTAAAGTGAATGATGTTGGATTTTCTTTCTCTAAGTAATTTATAGGGAGTCTTCTCAAGTAAAAGTTTGATTATGCATCTATTTATTAAATAACAAGCAGTATTTACAGCCTCAATTGTAGAAACTTTTAAAGATTAAAAGATTAAAAGTTACATCTATTAATAGGGAGCACCAGCAAATAGCAATTAGTATAATATACTGGACTTGAACTCCAGCATATTATACTGGAGTTCCAGGATAAGTATGCTGGAACTCCAGCATAATATGATGGAGCTCCAGCATAAGTACACTAGAACTCCAGCATAATATACTGGAGTTCCAGCAAAGTATACCAGTCCAGTATAATATGTTGGAAGTTCATACACAAGTGCTCGAATCTCCAGTATATTATGTTGGAACTTTCCGTGTGTTGGAGTTCCAGCATAATATGCTGGAAGTTTATACACAGGTGCACTGAACTCCAGTATATTATGTTGGACCGGTCTCTGTTGCAGCAAAATAGTGGCTATTTTTCATTGACTTGGTAAACGATGGCTATTTTTGAATGACCAATCCGAAAACTGGCTAGATCATGCTATTTTTACTATATTTTGCCACATTTGCTTTTGACCTAGCTCGTAGGATCACAAAGACCAATATGGAACAGTTCCTGGGGTCTTAAGGTGCTTATAACTTTCTTCGTGATATATTTACCTCTAACATAAGCATTGCAAACTTAGTCCTCATGGAACTTAGGCACAAGTTAACTTGACTTCAGGTATTCAATCAGTGGCGGATATAGAGGGCGACGTGCGGGTTCCCGGGAACCCAATAGCTTTTGCACTATCTTTGTATATGTATTTAAAAAAATTCATTAAATATCTATAAATATTTGATTATGAACCCAATTACTAATTTGAGATCGTTATAGGAACCCATAAACTTTAAAGTCTGGATCCGCCTATGTATTTAATAGGTATAAGCCTCAATAGAGGTAGCTAAGTAAAAATTATTGTCAAATTTAAGGACCCGTCTATGTATTTTGCCAAATTTATATTAATCGTTAGTATTTGTTTGAATTATGGGGTATTACAAAAGCATATTCTTGGTAAGTTCAGGTATGGTACACTAAACATAATATAACGACATTATCAATTTATGTCCTCGTCATAATGCAGGGAATATAATTATATTGTGTCCCCTCTGATCTCACCTCACAATATTCCAAAATGTAAAAACAATAAAAATCTCATTTGACAGCTTGTGTCGAAAACAATCATGATACATTCCTATATGATATAGAACACAAATATTAAAAATAGGGTAAGCCCTAAACACCCGAAAAATAAAGTACAATGGTAGGGTTGACAAAGTAATACAAAAGCCAGCTATCTTATTTTAGAAACTCATGACATCGATATCAGTCTTGAGAAGGTTGATAAGGAGTAGCAATCAAGTATAGGTTGCTCTTTCTTGAACAAGTTGCTCCAGCCGATTCAGTTAAGTCCAGATCACTTGAATTGATTCCAGTTGGGAGTTTCCAATCAAAATGATACAACAATTGAGCCAGAGGAAAATAAACGTTAGCTAAACCAAATGATATCCCAGGGCAATTCCTTCTTCCACTACCAAAGGGAAGATATTCAAAATTATTCCCAGTAAAATCCATAGAGTTGTGCTCGAATCTCTCAGGTTTAAAGATTTCTGCTTCATCCCAATATTTTGGATCTCTTCCAATAGCCCATACATTAATCATGACTTTTGTTTTCAAAGGAATAGTGTAGCGGTTTATGTTAGTTTCTTCCCTACATTCTCTTGGGAGCAAAAGGGGAAGTGGAGGATGAAGTCTCAAAGTTTCTTTAATGACCAACTTTAGGTATTTCAACTCTTCGACATCATTTTCATAGAAAGTTTCTTTCCCTCTGAAGGTCTTTCTTACCTCTGCTTGAGCTTTGGCGAGTATACTTTGATTCTTCATCATTTCCACCATGGCCCAATCAACTGTTGCTGATGATGTATCTGTTCCCGCAGAAAATATGTCCTTCATTTATGACAAGTAACAATATTATTAAATTATCTCTGGCATGTTGTTTATTTAGTAATTTTTTGACCAATTTTAATATTCAAATAACTTATACTAGACTTGTTCAACTATCTTTTTTTTTACATTGAAGGGACACTTTATATTTTCAAGGCCAATAATTTTTTGTTTTTTGTATCATGATATTACATATGCTATTATTTGATTATCCTATAACTGCTAAGTTGTGGTGGTTGACATACCTTTTCATTATATTTTTCAAATGTATAAAATTTCGTCATGAAAGTATATAGTCCTATTTGAGAACTAACTTAATTAATCGACTCTCGATGTTAAAAAAAATTGTAGAAAATAATTATGCAATTTGAGAACATAAGTGTATACTTAAATAGTACTTACAAAAATAATGGCTTTAATGTTGTCGTTGGTGATTGGGAATTGAAGGCCTCCCTCTTTCATAAGTCTTAGCAGTACGTCAATTAAACCTTCATCTCTTAATTCATCAGTTGCAATATTTTTGCGCTCATTGATGATATTTTCAAGAATGGCATCTAACTTATGATGGACATCCATAACTTTAGCCTTCATTCCACTTAGCACATGAAGAAATTTAAGTGAAGGAAATATATCAGCCACATCAAACCCTTCCACTAAGGCTGTATTTCTTTTGACTAATAGTATAAGTTCGTCTTGCTCCTTAAATACTTTCCCAAATGCTGATCTACATGTCATAGAGCTTGCGAATTGATAAATCCTTTTTGTTACATTAACTTGCTCATCAGTAGATGATCGAAAAAATTCAATCATACCATGAACTTCATCTCGTCTAATCGAGCTGAATGACTTGACATTTTTAGCACTAAGCAATTCAATCATACAGATTTTACGCATTTGTCTCCAGTAATCTCCATATGGGGAAAATGCGATATCAGAACAATTGTAAATAACAATTTCGGCTGCCAAAAGTTTAGGCCTAGATGCAAAAGCGAGGTCATGAGTTTTTAGTACTTCTTTTGCCATCTCAGCAGAAGTAACTACAACTATAGACATTTCCCCTAGTTGAAGGTGCATAAGGGGTCCAAATTTTTTGGCTAAATTTCTTAGGACATGGTGTGGAAGTCCACCTAGAATATGAAACATGCTTCCAAATAAAGGTAATTTCCATGGACCAGGAGGCAATATTTTGTTTTGGGTATTGGAGTTCTTCCATTTCCTTAATAAAAAGAGGAAAAACACAAAAAAGATAAAGGAAATGAAATTGAAGAACTGCATTTTGGGAGGGTTATTTGGTTTGATAGATTCTTCAAAGTGTTGTTGCATATTCATGCTCATTTAATATGATAGAATATAGATGCATTTTTCAGCAACTTTGTTTATTCAGTAGTCAACCGTGGCTGCTAGAACTTTTAATTTATTTTAATAAAGTAGAAAACAAACTAAATAATGGTATAGCTGCCCCACTGAATTGACAGTAGTAGGGGTTATGTACCAATAATTGAGTTTTAAAACGTATTTGAAAAGATCAATTTTATAGTTCATTATTATAAATAATTTTTAAATTATATTTTTTTTTCCACAAGATGTCACAAGTACAGGAGATTGGTAATAAAATATAAGTTGTTATAAAACAATAAATGAAGAACAAGAGTATTGCATAGAAAAGTAGAGAGAGGGAATTCTTATTGATATTGGATGAATTACAATGGAATAGGACCCCTCTATTTATAGGGAAATGGTGACTTATTCACCAAGTAATAAACCCTAGAATCTCTCTAAATATAGACATTCATCATAAATACAATTCTATTTATAACACTCCCCCTTGAATGTCTATCCAACAGATAATGTGCCTCGTTAAAACCTTAACTAAAATAAAATCCAGTTGAAAAAAAATTCTAGAAAAGGAAAAAGAGTACACATATCTAACAATACGCCTTTTGGTTGCCTCGTTAAAAACCTTGCAAGGAAAACCCAGTGGGACAAAACCTTGTAAGGGAAAAAGAGTGCAACGCGCATTAACTCCCCCTGATGAGAGCATCGATTCACATCCTTAAACATTTGCATTCCAATCTTGTGCACCATCTTCAAAAGATCGTTGGTAGAGATTTGATAAACAAATCAGTCATATTAACTTGAACGAATTTGTTTCACCTTGAAATCATCATCCCTAATAGATGTATTGTCTTCATATGATCTTGTTGGAATCGTCAGTTCAATATCTTCACATAGAGGTGAAACTCTTGCTATCATATTATCATGCATATAGTTATAGCAAGAAACATTTATGCACAAATTGCACTGAGGATGTAGTACTTCATGACCATGAATTCTATATGCTTTAAGCAATTTAAATCCTTCAGGGACTGTTAAGTCATATAAGCCATATAATAGACTTTAGATGCATATCAAGTTTTCATGTCATGCTAGACATATAAGATATCGAAAACTGATTGCACATACCATTGACTTTATACTTTCAAGTGTTTGAACTATATGTTCAAAACTACATATTCTACTTGAATTGTTTCTCCAGAATTGAGATCCTCATATATATTTAGCGCTATTATAGATGTCGTCGACAAACATTTTATATCGGTTCCAACCTCCTTATTTTTCATAAAGACATAACATAGAGATCTATTCATTTATATATTCAGGTACCTGAATCTCTCATGGGATTTTATGAAGTGTTATGTCATGTGATCTTCTAGATCACTTACCTCCTTTATTATGATCATTTCGATCATTTGCTCATCTTCTTTATCAAAGATTTTATTTGAAACCGATTTGTCTATACGCTTTAAGCGTACCATAGACTTTGTTTGTCACACCCCTTTTTCCCACCCCCAAAAAGATAATAAATGTATATGTTATGGATTGTTGTGGGTTAAAGAGTTTTTCCAATTAAAGTGACAAATTTGAGTAGGGATTATTTTATTTACAGAGTCGCCACTTGGAATTGGTTTTCGGTGTTCCAAGTCACCTTTTATGTGAATCCCTAATCAAAGGAAGATTTGACTCTTTTATTATTGGTCCGCGAAAATAAAGTCCGGATAAGGAATTCTGTTGACCGGGGAGAAGGTGTTAGGCATTCCCTGAGTCCCGTGGTTCTAGCACGGTCGCTTTATTGACTTAAAACTTGGCTTGAATTAATTTTGGACAAACTGTGATTTATATGACTTTTCATGTTTTATCTATCCGCTTTTATTTCTTGTTTATTAGAAAAATTAACGAATATAATAAAATGTCATAATCACACTACGCAAACGAATGCGTGATCGAGACGAAATTTATTGACTTGGTCATAACAGCGCTACACAAGCGAATCCGCAGTCATGACAAAGAATTATTAGCACATTATTACTTTTTTGAAAAAATTACTACAAAATTATGCTTTGAGGAAAAATTAACTTTTTGGAAATTTATTAAATGTCACCCACCGCGCTACGCAAGCAAATCCGCGGTTATAAGCAAGGGATTAATTAAATTAAAAATTAACTAAAACTAATGGATATGACATGAGATTGTTGAATTAATTTATTGAATGTTAAGCATCATGCTACGCAAGCGATTCCGTGAGTTAAAGCGCGCCTACTGATTGCCTAGCGTTTGATATTATTAAAATAATTAAGTTGTCAAAATATTTTAATTACAAGGAAATAATATGAATTTTAGTTATTCGACTATATTTATTTATTTTGGCATCGAGCCAGTAGGGATTTGCTATGGAAGAGGGGCCAATATTTCATGGCCTAAATGGTTATTAAAAGAGCCAGACCAGCTAGCATAAATGCTTGGGCCTAGACTTAATTTATTAAGCCTAACTGTTTATTTCTTTCCATTAAGGAAAGAATATGCCCATAATACTTATACAAATATTTCCAGAAGACTTCTCCCAATTTAACAACTTAATTTCATACTTCAAAATATGCGACTTTGTTAACAAAAGAGATTAAACCACTAACATATTATATTAACACTTGAAGAGTTAAATGAACCAAACAGAGGAATAAACTATTGCATAAACTACAACACAAATAATCTTTTCCCAATTACATGTCCAAAGCTCAACTAATTACTTGCAAATCACATTCAAAAGGATAAGCAAAATAAACCACTGTGCAAACTTGTGCAAACAGAATTAAGTAAAGCTCCTTAATTTTCATATGGAATCCCTATATTAACAACAACATGTATTAAAATATATAGCTATTAAAGAACAAGAAAGCTGAAACTCTTTCTTGATTCCCCTTTTTACCTGTTTACCAATACATTAACAACTAAGGCATATAAAACAACTAAATCTGAAACAAACCAATCAGAGAATGCAAAGTGAACATTTTCTCATTTCTTATGATAATATAAGGATCAAAACACATCTCAAAACAATATCTTCATTGTCCTATTATAAAGACAATTACTCTAAAGGTTGAAAGAGTTACCTATTGCAGAATTTTAGCAGCAACAATGAAAATGAAACTCGGCAGCAAATGACCGTAGAAAACCAGCACTAAACAACAGCAAAACAGCAATGAACCCGTGTTAAAACAGCCCAGAAATCTTACTAACAGTAGTGATTCTTTAGGAGAAGGAACTCCAGAATCAAATTCTAAGACTCTTATATGTTTTTGAAAGATTTTGCACTATAAAACTTAACCAAAACTCATGATTTTCAGCTTACTTTTCATGTGTTCAACTGCTGAATTTTTTTTTTTTAATGTTTTTTGTGTTCAAGCAATTCTAGAAAAAATATGGAAGTGTGATGGATTTTTTTTCCTCCTTCAAAATGAGGAAAGGGCAACCCTTAAATAGGCAAAGAAAAGCCAACTATTTGGACAGATTTTGGTTCACCAAAAATCTATCCAAAAGAGGCTGAATTTGTGTGCTAAAGGCTGTCCAAAAGGTGAAAGGACAACCTGAAATCTGCTATGGCAGGAGCCAAAGAGTCACTTCAGCCACCCTACTAAAAGCAAGCTACTAATACCCTAGTTTGTGACAAAAATATCTAAATTTCAAATTTTAACAACACCAATTCAAATACTCAAATCCAATCATGAAATAGACAAAGTAACCACAAGACTTTGATTGTAATTAAATTGAGCAATCAAACAAACTAAATTAAAGCAATGTGATCTCTACAAACTAATAGTGAACAACTGAAACCACGAAATATTTCGCAAAACAGAATTTGGATGAGCATCGCTTAATTATCATACAACGATTAACAACGAGCTCTTATGATATTAACTAACAAGCGATTCCAACTAATATTACCATAGTTTAATTAACCTATAAATACTACAAACCAAATTATGAACAAAGATTAAACTTTAAAACTAAATCCGAAGTACACGCTGAAAAATCAGAAACGGGAAAGGGGAGATGGGTTGAAGATTTACCGAAAACTCGAGCACACAGGCAGTGGTGAAACAATGGCAGCGATGGTGGTGATTCGACCCGGGGCATGGTTTTATTGTTGATTGATACCAAAATCCTAAATCCGATGAGCTGAATCTCGATTTCGGTATAATCGACAATAAAATCATGTCTGAGTCGATTGGAAGCGAGAACGGGAAGGAGCGCTGGAGGCAGCGGCGGGGTTAGGCAGTCAGTGGTGGTTGCCGGAATCCGGTCACCAGATTTTCGGCACGAAACCAATGCCAAATAGTAGCCCCCACTGAGTTATACCCATTTATGTGAAAATTAGGTGGAAAGAAGGGCTCAATCATCCCGATTTTATGGAAAAAGCGCCGGCTAGGGTTTCCTAGATCTAAAATTCGTGGAGTTTGATGGGGTTTTGAAGGATTTGATTTGAAGATATGGAAAGAGGAGGTTGAGGAGAGTGTATGATGATAATTTGGGGTTGTTTGGACCACCACCGGCGGCGGCGCACGGTGGTGGCAGTGGTGGAGCGGAGGCGGCGCGAGAGAGGGTGAGAGAGAGGAGAGAGTGAAGGAGAAGTCTCTAGGGTTTGGAAATAGGGCAAAAATCTGATTTTTTTGGCTTTTATATTTTAGTTAGGAATAAATTTTGACCATTAGATTAAGGTGGAATGAATGGCCATGATGGATTGTCATTTACTTAATCAAAATGACGTAGTTTTGTCTTGAAACTACGTCGTTTTAAATCCTCCCATGCCAGCCCCTTGTCTTGCACTCTTGGCCACTTTCTCTTTCAAACTCGGCCCAATTTCTTTTTTAATCCTACTTATTAAACTAAATTTACACAAACAAACAAATTAATTAAATAACTTATTGAAATGATCAATTAGCTAGATTAATTCACCAATTCAACAATTAGTTAATTCCTAAAAA